AGTCTTTGTTCATATATATGGCATTAACCCTGCATACACGTAGAGTTTGAATTACTGTGTGGAGTGAATGGACTTCATATTTCGCTTATGCTTACACCATGTGAAGTGACTTAGAAGGATGTTTAGGAGCCATGTTTCCTATTTGGGAAAGTTCTCAGTTTGGAAGCAGCCATGTATGAGAGTTGCTTGAGTGGGAAGCAAGCTACCTTCGTCCAGGATGAAGGCCTCAGACTCCTGATAAAGGCTCAGATGAAGAGGATCTAGTGGTTGAGGTGGAACAAAGTGGGACAGGCCGTCTGATGGAAGTCTCAGACAGGTAGGAATGGAGCTGTAAGTGCTGTGGCCAGCTCACTTGTGCCTCCTGCTCAGGATGAAGGAAGGGGTGCTCTGTGTTTTGGTTGTTACTGCAGAAGCCCACCTCAGCCCCTTCCTAGGCAGCAGCGCATCAGGAACCTAGAGAGCATGCATCTGGCTCTCTCCTTGGGGGAGGGGTTGGGTTTTTTGCTGTTTTTTTTTTTTTTTTCTAGCCCTGTTGAAAGGGCTAGGGACAGAGAAGTGACACTGCTGCTGGCCACATTAGTGGCTCTTTGTGTCCCAGAGGTGAAGGTTTTTTCTGAGGGCCCCCTGAGGGAGGAAGTTTGTGTAGAAAGGCAGATCAGGAGACCAGGATCCCTTCCTTTTATGAACCTGCAGGTTCCAGCTCCTGGTTTGCTCTAGCTGTACGTTAGAAGAGCCTAAACTTGCAGTCAGTGATGACAACAGACTGCACCACTCAACATCCTTGGGAGCCAGTCAAGCAAAAGGCAGAAGAAAGAGCTCTAATCCTCGTGCCTGCTGCAAGTCGCCTGTGAGAGCTAGTGGGGAATAAGCTCCCTGTCATGGCCAGCGGGGAAGGGCACTGCATACAAGGGGGACAGTCCCTGCAACCCCTCTTGTGTTAGTTTTAAGAAGAAGAACTCATATTCATGTGGTATGAAGAGAGGTATGGAGCACCACTGACAGTGGGTCCCTCCTTAGGATAAGGAGGGAGAATGGGCTGAGAAGAAAGCTTCCATTTTGAGCCTGTTCTTACTGCACACGTACATGTAACCGCTGGCTGGTGTCACTTCTGTATTAAAACACACCCTAGCCTAAAGTTTAATGGTTAATTAGGTGCCAAGTCCATCCAGGTCCCATCCAGGGTTCTCAGCGCCAGCAACCTGGACCCTTAGCCCGAGGCTGAGGAAGAGTGAAGCTAGGGGTAGGCTCTCTTGGGGCCCAGCAGATGAAGATGAGTTTGCTAGAGAAACTCTTGCTAGGTAAAGCCTGACACAGAGATTCTGGTAGACGTGGAACAGTGGTGACATCAAGATATGAGGTTGTCCTCTTCACTAAATGGACTGAAACTTAGAACACCCTTGAGGGCTGAGGAAAGAGGTGAGGTTATGGGATGGCAGGTAAAATAGTTAATACCCCAGGACCAGCCTCATGAGGAGCTTGCTTCCAGTCTTTCCTCCTCCTGTTGGAGCAGGTTCTAGAGACTAGCCTTGTGGGAAAGGAGCTTTGTGTTTGTTTCCTCGTGGTTTGTGAGTTTGGGTCTCACCCAATGTAGCCCAAGCTGGTCTCCAGCTCTTGGCAGTCCTGCTTCCTCAGAAGTCCAGGTACTAGGCTCACAGATGTGTACTACCGTATGTGGTCCCTATTTATGTTTCTTGTGCCTAGCATCTGTGAGCAGCACCCTGGCGGAAGTGTGGTGTGGAGGCTGAGCAGTCTCTGCCTCGTACTCTTGGCTGTCTTCATGTTTCGCCTCACTTCCTGCCCTTGTCCAGTGCCATTATGTTGTTCATGAAGTGTAGCTTCCAGAATTATGTGCGACATCCTTTATTTACCTCATCCATTCATTCCACCCATTTACTGTTGACTCATTCAGCTAATTATAATTGTGTGTTCCTTACTGTGAAGTGCCAGGTGCTGCATGAGGAGCTGGGGTGTTGTGGGAAAAGGTGTCCAGGGGCTCGGTTCAAGGGGTGGGGGTTGGGGGGGGCGGGGGGCTTCAGAGTAGTGTCTTCTGGGAGTAGTAAACATCTGCCACTTGGGTGTCTTGGCATGAAGCCATGGATCTATCTGAGAGCCCCTACTCCCTTCAGGTAGCCCTGCAGGCAGCTGTGTTAGCCACTCTCCTACTCAAGCTGAGCCCTGGAGACGCTGCTTTCTTTCTTGCTCAGGAAGTGTGTACTGTTTGGGCTGAGGAGGAGGAGGAGGCCGTTCTCTATCCACATTGTGGTCAGGGCAGCATCTACTCTCTCCTGTCTTCTGGGCCTAGCCTTTACATTTTCTGCCTTGGAGAGGTAATCTTCCAGAAGATGGGAGCTATTAACAAATTAGAAGCTGTAAATGTACAGATCCCAAGTCACCTAGACCTGTAAGCCAGCCCTTGTGGCCTTGAGTAGGTGAGTAGGTGTCCATGCCAAGGGTTTCAACACCCGCTGAAGGTAGGAGCAAGCCCTTGGGAAGGATTGTGTTTTCAGTTGAGAGCCAGGTCTGCAAGCCTGCTCAAGTGCTGTGCTGGCGGATGGGCAAGAGTTCTTGCACCCCTTTGTTTTTTAGCTTGTATACATTGAGGAAAGAAAGTGGTGAGTTAGCAAGATTATCAAGCTAGTGTGTGAGATTCTCAAGGTTTGTGTTCTTTGTTTTGTGTGCCATTTAGGAAGTGTTTTCAGTAATTTTGTCATGAAAAGATAGTATTACTTTTAGTCTCAGATTTAGATAATTTGGGTGTGACATCTTGATTCCTGTATCCACTGCTTGTTCACTACTCCCTGAGCCTAGAGACAGACTATCCTCAGGCTTTGGCTTTAAGATACATAGGCCTATTTGCAAGAGTTGCCAGACTGTGGTTTGTAGCATCCTCCTGACACTGAAGTGTTGAGTGGTCATGCAGTCCAGTTGTTGTCTGAGCTGCTCTTGTTCTACTGTCAAACATGGTTTAGATCTCTGTGCTCGTCTTCACCGTCACTGAATTGTCTGTATGTGGGGTAGATGTTGTAGGAGTGGAAGGCAGTATGTTTGCAACAGCAGGATTTATAAGGCAGGGTGCATATGTGTTTGTTCCATAGGTCAGGAATTTGTCTCAGACAAATGCCTATGTCTGGAGTGGAGGCAGGGTAATAGACACCCCACAGGGAAATGTGAGCTGTGCTGTGAACACAGCCAGGGGTTCTGAGGTAGGTCAGTCACCTATGGTTCTTGGAAAACAGCCCTAAGGACACAAGAATTCTTAGAGTTCTTAATTCTCTACTGTACAGTTTACATAGCATTTCTTTTCTTACTAAAAAAAAAAAAATCTTATTTAATTAATTTTATTTTAAAATGATCTTTTTAAATTCCAAAAGTACAAGTTTATTAAGACAGTCCTAACTCATGTTGTGTTTTGGGAGTAAGGAGAGATGAAATTAGGCAGGGGTAATGGGGGGGGCGTGGCTAGTGGCTTTGTGGGAAGGACAGAGGCTGGAGACTTGTGTGCACTCAGCACAGCACATTAGTGAGGGGATGGAGCTTCGGCAAGTTGGAAGGATGATTATTTATTTGCCTGTAAGATATATTTTCATGTTCCTGTTTGTTCCCATTTCAAATGGTTAACATTATCTTCAGTTGTTTTCCCTTCTCAAAACACATGTTCTTTTTCAGTAGTACACACTGTGATACATATTACAAACCTCTCCTAATAAGAGACATGGAATGTTTCTTCTCAGTAGGATAGGGTTTCTGTCATGATGAACTATGGCCATAGACTCTAGCAGGGACAAAGAACTGGTCACATGCAGGTCCTCAGTCTCGGTGCAGTGCAGGAGAGCAGCAGTGACTGTGCAGGCTGGCAGGCACCCATCCCTCTTGAGGTCTTCTAGTTTGCCAGCTTCCCTAGGACCCATTGAGTGAGTGTCCTGACCTCAGTCTTGATGTCCATTGAATGGGGACATGTCTCATATAAACGAAAGTGCTGCTTAAAACAGTATGGCCCACTTCAGCTGGAAGTCCATATGTGGATTGTGACTCCTAGCGAGTGTGTCATTTCTGCACACTGTCTGTCTTGTTAACCAGTTGATGTGATCTCTGTTGGAGCACATGTGAGAGTGATGCTGATTAGAGATTACTTTCTATGCCTCATTGCTGTGGCAAGTTAAAGCTAGCTGTGCTTTGTGTGGTTTTCTGGACTTGAGTTCAGGTTCCACCATCTTGTATCAATGAGTCAGTCAGGCTCTACTAAAGACAGCACATCAGAGCTGGGGCTAAGCAAGAGGCTTGCCTCTGGTCAGCACACTTCCCCCAAGGCCATTCTGGGTGGCTGTAGACTGAGAATGTGTCCACAGTGGTCAAGACAAGCTTGCTCAGAGTGGCACGTGAGTGCTAGAACCTTCTCCAGCCTGTGTAGGTGCTCCAGAAAGTTCCAAAGCCTTGGGTCTTCTTTGCTACTAAACAGAGCTGTTTAGTAGCCCCTTGTCCTGGCTTATTTGCTTAGTGAACTGTGGTTGTACTGCACAGATTGCTAAGAGTGAGCGTTTGGAATAGGGTGGGGATTCTGGAATCAACTGACCTAGGTTTACATTACCAGTAGTATGGTGGCTTAAGACAGGTTACTTAACTTTTCTGAATTTCAATTCTGTATTTATAAATTGAAATAATATTCCTCCGTTCAGCTGGTTTTTGTGAGGATTAAAATAAGACTTACTGTTAGTGAAGGCTTAAAGTGGCGGAATTGCCAGGCTTTGCAGTTCCTGTTGCTGTGCGCTTAGAGGAGATACCGTTAATTTAGGCAGAGAAGGAACATGGACCTACAGTGATGAGGTGGACAGTGGCGGATGTCACTCCCAGGCCGTGGGTCCCTTCCCTCCGTCGTGGCCCTTGCTGCATGCTGGGGCAGGTGGAGGTCAGACTACAGGAAATGTGTATGTGTGTGTGGGGGGGGTGCTGAAGATAACAGTTGGAGTGTGAGCTCTCTCAGAATTGTAAGGTTGTTACTTGAAGAGTTTTTAAGGCTTTTTAAATTTTCTTGTATGATAGTTTTCATTTGTGAGAATTTTAGATTTGCCTCTTTATTGTTAGGTAAGCAAATATGAATTTGTCAAATGAATAAAAAATAAATATAGATGATTACAAGGGCGGAAGGGGTGGGCGTTGCTCATTCACAAAGCATTGTTTCTGAGGACAGCTGCAGACCACCACCCATTGTACTGTGGGTATCACTGGGGGCTTTTGAAATTAGCATTTAAAAACCCTGTGCTTTGGAAGGCTTGCAGATCCCTTCAGATCCATTCTTTGCCTCCAGGCAAAATAAATAAATAATCAGGCTAATCCTGTGACTTCCCTCCCACTCTCAGAAATTTCAAAGGCAATATATATTGCAAATTTAAAAAAACAAGAACTGTCATTTCAAGGAATGACAAGGGAAGTGCAGCCAGTGGACTTGTAGCTGAAGCAGATTCAGCGGCGTGCAGGAGGCAGGACTGGCTGACACTAACCCAGGCAACGCTTTGGCCCATGCACAGTCTCTGCTAACCCTTCTAAGCAGCTTTTGGACATATTTTAACATGTGGCTAATGGTCTGATGAGGTCACTGGACCAACTAGATTTCCATGGCAGGCCTGCTGCAGTCATAGCTGTAGCACAGCAATGCCCAACACACGCAGCCTCTGCTTCCTGCTGCCCTGCCTCAGTTCTGCTGCTGAGAGAGGGGCCTCTCCTTAAGGAACTGGTCTCTGACATTTTCGTTACATTTCTGTAGCCAAGTCACGTCAAAGTTGTGTCCAAGGATGTTAAGAAGTGGCGCATGGAAAGATAGGAATGGAGTTCAGACCTTAGTGTGTCCAAGACAAGCGTGTAACACAGGCACGTGCATTTCCCCTGCCTTTCCACATCCTCAAGGAGGGGAGGGAGAGCTACACCCACGCTGACCTCTGACCATGCCCATTATTCCCTGTAGCTTGCTGATGACCGCATGGCGCTGGTGTCAGGCATCAGCCTAGATCCAGAAGCAGCAATTGGCGTGACAAAGCGGTCACCTCCCAAGTGGGTGGATGGAGTAGACGAAGTAAGTCCCTGCTTGTGTCCTTTTGTGTGTTTGTGTGTTAGGTCTGGATGACAACATGGTTTAGAGTCTGTGTCCTCAGACACTGCTGTGTACGAGCTTGCTCACCACCCATGGTCCACAGAGTGAAGCAGGGCTGGCTCTGGCTGGCTGCCCCATGAGGTGCACTTAGCATTAGCAGCAACTACTTGATTCTAGAAAGAAATTAAAAACTTTGGAATAAGGAAAAGTGTGTGTGCGTCCTTGTTTTAGATTTCTTTATGTTAGTTTCTTTGGTCTTTCCAGGCAGGGTTTCTCTGCGTAGCCCAGGCTGGCTTCTAACTCAAGAGATCCACCTGTCTCTGCCTCCCCAGTGCTGGGATTGAAGGCATGTTGGCTTCAATCAGCTGTTGGCTTATTTTACTTTATGTGTATTAGTGTTTTGCCTATGGGTTTATCTTTGTATGAGCTGTGTGCCTGTAGAAATCATAAAGGGGCATTGGAACTCCTGGAACTGAAGTTACAAGATAACTGTAAGCCACCATGTGGGTGTTGGAAAGTGAACCCAGTCTTCTCTAATAGCAACAAGCTGCTCTTAACTGCTGAGCCATCTCTCCAGCCTTTGCATTTTTTGTTTTTTCCTTTATAACTTGAATTTTAAAAGTTACTTGTGCATCAATAGTACGCCAGTAAATTCTACTGAGTGCAGATTCTGGTGTAGCTAATCGTCTTGACTACAGATGGACAGCTGCCAGGCATGAGTGGGGTTCTAGTGAGTTCATTTGCTTAGATACAGTATGATGTTGGCCGCATCAAACAGAAGATGAAGGAGTTAGCCAGCCTCCATGATAAGCATTTGAACAGACCCACCCTGGATGACAGCAGCGAGGAGGAACACGCCATCGAGATCACCACCCAGGAGGTCACACAGGTGAGCACACATGCTAGTCCTGAGGAGGTGGTGACCCCTCACCCTCCATCCTAGCCTTTGCCCCACACTGAACCCAGCCAATACTGCCCCAAAACTTTCACAGGCACTTGGAAAATCCCAAGGTCTAAGAGTGATTTTCAGAGTGTTTGATTTTTTTTTAGAGATATGTGTACTATTGTTGAGTTATTGGTAGATACCACTGTTGATGTTAAAATGTGTAGTTGTTATCATACACTAGGACTTGGAATTTCATCCTAAAACACAGGTCTACAAGAAGATAGGGTTGGCATTTTAATGGAAACACATTTGAACCAATCTTTAGGTGATATGACTGGTAAACACTAGTTTAAACTTTGGTGTTTGTGTGTTCAAGTCTCCTTTGTACTTACTTTGAGTGTAGACATCCAAATGTCTGAAGCCAACTTTGTAGTAGAGTAGCCATGAGATGTTTTTACTTCAGTCTCTGACTCTACCTTTTCATCTGTACAATGGATGTAAAAGTCACACCAGTACCTGCCTCGTGTAGGAAGTCAAGTAGTCAGACATACAGTAACAGGGTGTGAAGTGAACATTATCAGGCACATGATAGACACTGTACAGACAAGGTGAAGTTTAGGATGTCTTCAGTGTGTGTGTATGAAACCTCTAGTCACCTTCTTCCAGCCCTGCGATACACACACACACACAAACACATGCACATTCACACTTGTGCATCCACACGTCCAGCCGGACCTTTCTCTACCAGCCTGCCGAGCAGGGTACCTCCTGACAGAGACCTTGGCTAGGAGAGGCTTTTGATGTAAGCCAGAGCTATTCTCTCAGCTCTTCCATAGGTGTCAACGCGCTGTGCAGGCCCTGCCCAGTCGGGCACGCCGGGCCTGCTCGGAGCAGGAAGAGCGGCTGCTGCGGAACGTGGTGGCCTCCCTGGCACAAGCCCTGCAGGAGCTGTCCACCAGCTTCCGGCATGCACAGTCCGACTACCTGAAACGTGAGTGCAGGTCTGGTGAAGGGACTCTTGAGTAGGAAACATTGTGTTTTCTGTCCTCCTTTGTTGCGGTGTCTCCATGCAGCACCTATTCATTGTTCACAGCTAGTTAGGCACAGTCACACCTTGTGAGCAAGAGGAAGCTGGCTCCCTAGGGGCCCTTGCTGAGGAGAGAAGGCCTGGCTCCTGGTGCAGTGGGACAGGCAGTCTCTGTCCGGATGACTATCATTCAGCCCTGGGTTGCACAGACCTTCAAAGTCACAGCGTTGTTATAAAAGCCGATGTGACGCTGGGCTCCATAGGTTTTGATGACATGTCAGAGCCAGTTCATCCACATAGTGACATCTGCATGGCCCTTGGGACATGAAAGCAGGGTGCAAACAGTCTTGCATCAGCTTGCCCTGGTACTGGGTTTTTCTGTGTTTTATTGTAAGGGACAGAACCCACTTACTCCTGGAACCCTGCTCCCTTCCCCACCTATCTGCCTTCCTTTCATTCCTTCAGATTCTGATCAGAATGCTTCCTAGAGAGTCTCCCAAGGACAGATGCCGAGGTGGTAGTAGTGTCTGAGAGAGCAGCTAGAAGAACCGGTTCTGTCTCGCTTAGAGAAGCCTCAGGCGGCTGTGTCCTGTCCGTCTTGCCATCCTGTGAATTGGGCATTTAGAGAGTGGCTGCCCCGAATGTCCTGAACACTTGCATGCTGTTGCAATGCTTTAATGCAAGCAAGGCTCCCCTTCTGGAGGTGGGCTTCTTTAGACCTGTTTAGGGGTCTCCCCTTGCAGTTGGGTTTTACTCTTAGCCTTTTTAATGGTAGAACAGTAGCTATACGCATTCGAGTAAAGTGGCCTCATGTCTGCTAGGCATGAAAAACCGAGAGGAAAGATCACAGCATTTCTTCGACACCCCAGTACCACTAATGGACGATGGAGATGATGCTACTGTATATGGTCAGGTATGCGGTGGGACCGGCATCTGCTGCTGCTTTTCCTGAGCTCCTTGCCCCTGTCCAGTTCATGGCGGGCAGCTGTTGCCTTGTGCCTGCCAAGTAGTCCTTGCTGCAGACAGAGCAGCCATGCTGGCCCTCCCTCCCAGTTGTCTCAGAGAGGTCTGCAGTATGCACAAAGCCATCTTAGAGCCCAATGTGGCTGCAGATGTGGCTTCTTTCTGGACCCTCACTTCAACTGCTGTATTATGTACCATGCTGTTTCAGGGTTGGGGTTCTTGCTTCCTGTCTAAGGAAAAAAGTTATCTATTGCCAAATGCTTTATAAAAACATTTTTGGAATTTGTTTTCTTGAGTGTTGTCTGAAGTAGCCTGCCACAGCTTTGCTAATAGGAAGACTCTTGTTTGGACAGGGTTTCATGGATGACCAGCTAGTGCTGGTAGAACAGAACACACTGATGGTGGAGGAGAGGGAGCGAGAGATCCGTCAGATTGTACAGTCCATTTCAGACCTCAACGAAATCTTCAGGGACTTGGGAGCCATGATTGTGGAGCAGGTGTGTGTCCTGCAGGGTGTGTGCCTACCCTTCTCCATGGTCCTTATATCCTGTCCTCTAGTTGGGAAACGTTTAAACACATGCTTCTTACACCTAATGTGTTTGAATGTGTGCGTGTGTTTGTCAGTAATGTGGGCTACTGTCATTCCCTGTGAAAATACTGATTTTTTTTTTTCAAATCTGGAGAGGGAAGAATTCTAATGCTTTCTGCTCTGCCCCAGAGATACTTGTGTGCACGTATCCTTTGGAGGCCTGGCAGACTCTGACGAAACCTGGCCTGATTCTGCCAGTGTACAAGATTCCCTTCTGACAGTGGTAGATGGTTGTATAATGGCTGTTGGAACCACCAGCTTTTAAGTAGAATTAAATCGTTATTCATTGCTACAATCTGATTAGGGCATTTTATTATCTTGGCAGTAGGGATTTGTTTGGGTCCTGGTCCCATGAGACCAACTAACGAGTATTGAGGCACCATCAGAGTTGGCTGGTTAACTGCTATGTTTCCCAAGGAATTGCCGTCTTTCCTGGTTCACCCTCCGTAGTTCCTGTAGAAATCAAGAGACTAGACAGTTTAATAGCCTGTCCTTGAGTCCCAGGTTGTCATTTCAGACAGTGATGGGAGCAGCCTGGCCATGGTGGTGGAAGCACCTGGCATCCTCTACCTGCCAGATCCAAGTATTTAGTCAGCAAGAAATGGAAAGCCAAGTCCTTTACTCCCCAGAACAGGTTTCTAAGTCCTAGTACTTCCGAAGGTAGCATATCTGTACCTACAAGGCTAAACCAAAACTAGAAAGCTGGCTTTGGTTCTTGCTGTAGCTGACACAGTACTCTGTGCAGAATGCCCTCAACTGTTCGGTGGTCTGATGCTGCTGTGCTGTGGGTCCCAAGGTCTGTGATCTACATGTCTTGGGGTTGACAGTGCAGTCTCCCCAGCTGTAATTATTGACCATCTGTACTGTCTCTTATTACTCAGGGTACAGTCCTTGATAGAATTGACTATAATGTTGAACAGTCCTGTGTCAAGACCGAAGATGGCTTGAAACAGCTTCACAAGGTAGTACCGTTTTCCTTGCTGGGTCTGTAGAAACCGTTATCCCTCCTAGGAGGGTTTCTTTCTCTGTCACACGGCCTCAACCCGGACACAACAAGGTAGAGGTGGACTCCATTGTCTTATTGGGAGCAGCTGTGAGCTTGCTTTCATGCTGCAGCCCTGGTATCGGGGAGACCACACCTTGAGATCAGACGAAGCTGGGATCCTAGGTTTTCTTTCCTGTTAGAGAAACCTTGTTGTGTGCTTGGAGATTTAGTGCTTATTGCTGCTAACTTTGGGTGCGGGAGTTCACTTCTGGCGAGTTACTGGTAGAAAACTCTCAGCAAGGCTAAAACATGTCCTTGTCCTCCCGGTGTCACCTGTTCATGGAAGGGAGTGGCCACGCTCTTGTTGATGAGGGCCTCTTTCATGGCTTGCATGCTTGTTTTTGTTTGTAAGAAGTTCTTAGAAGTCATTTTACAAATCCTGTAGTCAGTTGTGAGAAATGGGCTTGTGAACACCAAGGTGGCGTGTGTGGTTGGGCATGTTCCCTTGAAGGGAATGGAGCTAGCTGCCTGTACTTGATAGATCAGGTCAGCCCTGCCCACCTCCTCATCACTGAAACCCACTGCCACTGCTGGCCCTGGGAGGAGCAGTTTTCTAACTCATGAGCATTCACACGTTTTCCCCTGAAAGCAGAAGTCACTCTGTCTTACCATGGTGCCAGCTTGCAGGGCTCCAGCCCTGTGGCCGCTGACCAGAGGCCTTCCCCAGCCCTGTGCTGTTTACCTCAGGGCACAAAAGTCTTGCTTAGCACTGTTTAGTCATGGGGTCGTCAGCCTGTATCTCAGAAGCTAAAGCTGCCTGCCCCAGCTTCTGTAGAGAAGGTTTGCGCTGCTGCTAAGTTACCCATAGGCTCTGAAGTTTGTCACAATGGGAAACATGCTTTGTGTTGTGATACAGACGAGAAGGAGGGGCTGGGTTACACACAGCTAAGACTTTGGTTTTGGTCTAGTTTGGGCTTGCTGTGAGGAATGGTGTGTCTGCAGACCACACTGGGAAGGCAGCTGAGACTTGGGAGTGGCTCCAATGGGCCATCTCTCAAGGTGGTCTCCCATCCTGTTTCTAGGTGGGGAAGGGTTTTTCTGGGTGGTTGGAGGGTTCCCTGAGGATAGTCAGCTACCAGTGCCATCAGTCTCTTGAGCATGTTTTCCTTCTTTGAGGGGTCTGTGTTTCTTTGCCACCACTCATTGATATGTGTGGTTCCCTGGTGCTTCTGTAGGAGAGAGGGGTTACAGGTGAGGGGGAGGTATGCAGGTGGGTCTTTGGAAGCCCCTCTGTGTGCCATTATTAGTTCAGGGGCAGGGGTGGTATATATACACACACCATTGTCCATTTCTTCCTCAAACAATGAGATGTTCTGTTTCCAGGTGCAGAAGAAGTGACCCCAGGGCCTCTTGGGGCCACTGGTTCTATGCATTCTGGTCATTCTTTCCTGGAAAGGGAAGAAAGACAATGTACATTTGTCCCAGGCACAGGGACCTTCTTGAGAATCCAGAGTAGGAAGTAGTAGGCCCAGTGTAACTTGGTGTCTCTTGACCTCTGTCTTCACACTAGATCCCACTGTGAACAGAGTCTTGATGGTTGATATCACACTGAGGGAGGCCAAGCAGTGAGGTCTGCCTTTAGTGCAGACTTGAGACCCTGCTGCAGATGCAAGGCTTTGTGAGGTCTGTGAGGAAATAACACCTTCCCTCCTCTTTTGTAGGCAGAGCAGTACCAGAAGAAGAACCGGAAGATGCTGGTGATCTTGATACTGGTTGCCATCATCGTAGTCCTCACTGTGGTCCTCATCGGTGTAAAGTCTCGCTAGTGGCACCAAGTTCTTGAGAGTGCTACTGCATGGGTTAGTTGGGGGTTAGGGCTTGACGGGTGCCCCACCACTGCGCTGTCTAAAGAGTGCAGCCCACTGGCCCAGCAATGGACAGCGGATCTTCTGTGGACACCTTCTATCGAGTGGACTGGCGTGCAGGCACGGCCATGGTTTCCATCGCTGTCCAGAGTCTAAGGACTTGATGCTGTTGCTGAGGAGACTGGCCTGTGATCGTCTGTGATGTGAACACATGCTTTAGTGAGAAGTGGAAGGTTTACGGGCGCGGAGGCTCCGTGGGGTGTGCGCATGCTCATGTTAGCACTCATGTCTGAGCAGCATGTTAAATAATTTTGGGGAAATTTTTTTTTTAACCATCTGGTTTTTAAGAAGTTTGGTACCAAAAATTTATGAGTGTAGAGGCAATGCCTCTTCATCTTCCCAGCTGAAAACAAAGCAGAAGTCCTTCAAGGATTTATAATCTGTTCCCGTTAACGTAATTCAGCTTTCCATCACTGTTAACGATCAGAGTAACAAAGTGTGAAAAATAAGAAACCATCATCGATGTTAATTAACACATTTAGGCGGGCCAGTTAAACCAGCTTCATGCATTTAAATCAATTGTAAATAACATATTCCTCATTCAGAATTTTGCCCTGCATTTTCTACTGTAAACCAAGAGGGGTTGCTAAGCAAAACCTCCTGAATCAGAGACTTGGTCATTTGATCCTGTCTCACATTACAAGAAAGCTTGACAGTGTCATGAGCTAGATTGAGCCAGTGTGTCCCCAGCCATCCTTCCTCAGTCCACTACTTACATTCTAGCTACATAATGACCTGTCCAACCCTGACTCCATTTAATGAACTGTGAATTTACACAGAGGCCATTTCAAATGGGTCACCCCGTTTAGGATTAGTGGGTCTCAAATTATTAACCAAACATCACTCCATTTCAAAGTAAAATATTCTACCCATGATTTGATTTATCGACTCCTCCGTTGCCACTTAGCTATGCCCAGAAAGCGGGTATACTCCTGAGGACAGTGAGAACCTCAACTAGGGAAACCTTGTGTGTGTGTGTGTGTGTGTGTGTGTGTGTGTGTGTGTAGTGTTTCCGTGTGTTCATGTGTGAGCATATCGCATGCATATCAGATGGCCACAGTCGGATTCTGTTTACCTACCTGTTAGCTCTATGGTGCTTGTTTGCCCTGCAGAAGTAGAGCGGTACAGACCAGACTCATGGAGCTGTGAAGACAAGCATGTGCGTGTCTCACTTGCTCTGTTCGCATCGGCACTGCTGGAATTTTAATGCTCTTTGTGTAATTGTTGATGGCTTTTTAAAACTGTCTCTGCTTCTCTTAAATTATTTAAACAGTATGGCCCTGTTAGGTGTGTTACATTTCTATTTGACCAGGCATATGAAACGCCTCTGTGGGATTCAGAGCGGGAGGGCACAGCTGGGAAGGAAGAGGCAGCACCTACCCCATGACTGCAGAACTGGGGAAGGGTCTCTCCAGACTCCTCACCCTCTGTTAGACAAGCTGTTGCTAGGTAGACTGGCCAGATTAGGGACCTGCTTCAAGCAATCGTGAGATCATGCTGCGTCATTGTCCAAAAGCCTTTTAAGAAAGGAGCACTATTTATTTATAATTTTGTTCCCTAGATAGATTTTTTTGGAGGGATTGGTTAGAAATTGTCCCAAGGACCTGTGGGGAGAGGGACTGTCCCCTTCTGCCCAAAGGCAGTGTGGTGCTGGTCTGGGCACATGCCCCCCTGGTGGGTGTCCTGAAGGGGCATGGACACTTGGCCTGTGCCTGCCTCCGGAGCTTTATGGACTTGCTCTTTGGAGTCCCACTGCCCTTTTCTGTTGAGCCTGTTCTGGGGCAAAGATGAGAAGCCTTTGAGAAGTTAGTACCCATGTCCTGGTAGGTCCCTCTGAATAATTGCTTTTGGAAGAGGACTCTTGTACCTAGTGACAGTCACACAGACCGGTTTCTCCCTGTGCCTGGGAAGCGCCTTGGGGAAGAAGCCTAGCCTCTGGACACCACCTCCCTCTGCTGCCCTGCTGGCTCCTGCAGAGTTGGGGTGAAAGGAGAAAGGGAAAGAACAGTTAGTCCTTTGGGGCCCCTGATCTTTCCTAAGACTATCATAAAATTGCTGTCTTCATTTTGTTTGTTGGGGGTGGGGGGGACATTGGGGTGCTGGCTGGGCCACTATGTAAAGCAATGTGTGTCTAATTTAACGGATGTACCACTTTTCTCTGCTAATTGAGAGAGCATTATTTATTTGTTTTGACACAAGTGCTTGCAGTGTTTCATCCCAGCTAATGGCTTCTTAAAGGTAATAAAACCCTTCAACCTAATTGGTCAGATAAGACTTTTTCCTTGTATGCTTAAATAAAGCAATTAGTGAAATGCTTCTGTCCAAAATGACTTTTTTTTTGGTCCTTTTTTTTTTTTTTAAACTGATTTACTGTTACTGGAAACTTTTTGTACAATAAAGCAATCTCACAGACTGAAGAGCATCCCGCATTCCTGGTATTAATTTTAACAATGGGGGTCATATTTTCTTCAAACGTGTTTGTGTTAGCAGAGGGCCTGACCATGTCTGGGATCTTTGGGGCCATGGCTATTTATTTTGTGCCTGAGGCCTCTGCCTCAGAGTCTGAAAGTCGATTTGTCTATCTAATGGAGGCCCGCAAAGGGACCAATCAATTTGCTATTCAATATACAAAAAGAGAAACCGCATAAAAGACAGATAATTATTTTTTCTTTATGGAAACATGTTTTATGTGAGCACTCAAGCCTGTTTGGTGATCTTCAGATCGTGCCCAGAGTGGTTTACAGTGGGCAGGCTCCAGGACCTACCACTGGGGAATGTCTTCCTCTGGTGTAGTATGACAGCCTAGAAGGACAGTATTTGCTAGGAATGTCCAGGCCCTACTCCAAGGCCAGAGCGGGGTATTGATGCTTGTATGCACGCATACCTGGGAGAGAGGGGAGACGATGGAGACCTGATGGAGGGCCAGAGTGGGATGTCTGTCTTAGTGGGTGAGTCTTGGCAGACGTGAGAGCACCCCAAAGAGCTTGCTGAACCACAGACTGCGGTCTCCTGTGTCCTGTACTCTGTCGTTGTACAATGTAGGATCCCTTCCTTCTCATCAGCCATTGGCTAGTGCAGACATCATTCAGTTTCAGAGGACAACCCTTTTTCCTAAGGCTAGAACGTTGAATCCAGTGGTAGTTACATTCAAGCCTATGTCCCGATGCGGCTGGAGTGGGGAGGCCTATGAGTAAGGGAGGAGTGTGTTCTTTGTTAGACAGGATCTATGTAGCCCAGGTTGCCCTTGAACTTGTGACCCCCCATCTTTACCTTCCAACTGCTGAGATGACAGGCAGACAAGTGCTACCATGCAAGGCAGTGGGTGGAGTCATCTTTGCAATGGAGTCTTCAGTGATCCAGGCTTAGAATGGTCACGCAGGAGGGTACACACACAACCGGGCATGGTCATTAAGCAGAGTGCTCTGAGCCTTGGCACTGGGTCAGAGCTGGTGGACAGTTGAGGTATGTAGCCCCTTTGATTCTCATCCTGAGTGTCAGACGGCAGGCTGGGTGTGCAGTTCTGCTGTGAGCACGGTCTATGACGTTAGAGCAACCTTCCTAATCTGCCATGTGAGGTCATAGCCACCTACCCAAACATGCATGCCAATGGCCAACTGTGAGCCACGGCACTTTGATCATCTGGGTCCCCTCTATCTCAGCTGTATGGAGACAACGTGAAGAGACCTTTTCATGGTGGGCTGGGGTCAGATGGATAAAGGAGGGACAGCAGTTACATGGTAGGATTTTATTTCTTCTAAGGTGGCAGCCCTGATCCATCTAATGAGTGTTTGGGGGCTTAGTTCTGCTCAGTGCCTGTAAGTGTGGGTCTCAGTTGTGTTTTCCTGTGTTTATTGGCCCTTTGAAACCTCTGAGTTTTCTTTGAATTCTCTTGACCACCCACACAGCACCTTTAACCTTGTGTCTGATGTTTCTGTTTAGTTGTTTTGAAATTGAAGGAAAGCAGACCCTGCAAGTTGATGACTGTCAGAACAAGCTAATGAGGGGCACCGGTAGACATATAGACAGCTCACGTAGAAGTGCTTCCTATCGGGCTCAGAATCAGCACCCTCAGACAGACTAAAGCCATCTATGCTGGGTTTTCTTACTACATCGAGGGACATTCCACAGAGCCAAATGGCAGAGACTTGTGCACAATTATCTGGTCAATTGAGGCAAAAGAAAATAATCATTTGTCCAATTGTGCAAATGAGCTCCCTGGACTGTCCTGAACGCTGAGATAATTGTGTGGTCCTCCACTTTCATTCCATAATCTGGCAAAAATGGGCTATTTAAACAAGGCTCCATTTGATAACGCAATTCCAATCAGGCTTCGTTAAAACAGACCACTGGGGTTTGCATTTTCTGTTTGTCAACTATAATTCTATAATTGCTTTAAGCTAATCATCCAAATTCCACCATTAGTAATCACTATCTCTCATTTACAGATGTGATAGAGGCCAAGGGCCCTGGTTTATGTCATTTGGACTTATTTTCCCAGGAAGTGCTGAGGGAACCAAATGCCTCTTCTCTGGCTTGGCATTCTGACCCAGGGAATCACAGTACAGCTCTGTTTTTTTCACTGTGGGGGAGGAAAAACACCTCCCACACTGAGCAGGCCCCTTCTCCAGATGGGGAAATGGAGACCCGTGCCCAGGTGTAGCTCAAGATAGAACTGGAATTGTCACCTTCCTGATCTCTAGACCAGCACTTCTTTCTGCTTATTCCATTTTAATTGTTCATTTCTTTCCATAAAATTAAATGACCTTCTTCAAGAAAGATTTAATGGTCAAGATGTGATTTGGTAAAAAGCTTCCTCAAGGGTGTTTTTCCTTATTACAAAGATGAGGCCAGGCTGCAGCTCAGAGAGATTTGCAGGCAGCGGTGAACCATTACCCCAGCTCGGTTTTTTGTGTAATTGGTGTGAAGAGATTGCTGCTGATGAATCAGCCTGCCGCTGAACAGAAAAATAATGATTGTGTGGTGACTCAACTGGATGGACGGACATGTGAGCTCGCAGTTGTTTACCAAAGGTATATGTGTGCATAAAATGCTCGCCTAGATGGATAATGTCATTTTAAAGTTGTAAATAATAAAAAATAGTCTCGGGCAGACCTGATTTTACAATTGCTGGAGAATGCAGCACTTCATTTCAACACTATGCGATGGCTAGAAATTGATTTTTTTTTTTAAATCCAATTAAGCCTCAAGGTTGGTCATCCATTTAAAAGGTCGGATGAGCTAAACAATGACAGGACCTTCGGTTCATGCTAATAATTAGATTTACACAGAACTCCAGCCTTCATGTCTGCGTTACAGAGGCATATGTTTTCTGTTTGGACAACTCTGAGCTGTCCAAGCCCCCAGCCCTTGGTGCAGACAAACCAGCCAAGCAGGGACCCAGACTTCCGGAGAGCCCAGCAGTTCTGACCCCATTATGCCTTCCCCTCGGATTTCCAGCCTACCCTGAGGAGAGTGGCTACCAGCATCCAGCTGCCCTCTTTTCTATAGCCCTGAGAATCCTGGGGATGGAAGGTAGCCTCTCAGTACCACCTGGTTTCATGTGCTGCTGACCTTAAAGCAACAAATCCTGGTTTAAAAACAGCACCGTGCAGCTGAGTTTACCTGGCACGGGGAGAGGAAGGCTTCAAAATGCCTTTCTAGGCTTCTCACGGGTAATGTCTTAAGTGTTACTATATTATGAAGATGTTGGAAAATCATGAGTCTGAGGAAAATGTTTTATTCTCTGCTTGGGTTGGGGTGTCACTCAGGTTTTATAAATGGCTGAGACCTGGCATTTCACCCTGCTCTGTAATGTAAGTAAGGCATTTCAGTATGCTCCATCCATAACCAAAGCACCCAGAAATAAGAGACCTTCTAGAACTTTCCATCCATAACCATGAACCACTCTGAAATAAGGGTGCTTCCAGAATGTTGCATCCATAACTATGAACCAGCCTTGAATAAAGACCCTTCTAGAATATTCCATCTGTAACTATAAAGCAGCCTGAAATAAAGACCCAGAATTTTCCATCCATAACTTGAGCCAGCCTGAAATAAAGGCCCTTCCAGATTCAGTGAGAAGAAAATATTGAATTTGCTTCTCATTGCTCACTGCTCCAGACAACAAAAGCCGAAGAATTTTAGATTAGCTTTTTGCCTCCCCCACACTCCCCTCACACCACTCAGTTGCCCAAATCCTCAACAACAGATTTATGATTCTTTTTGAAAGGTCTGCGTTGGATAGCACAGATAGACGTGTAATAAACACAAGGCTGTTTGTGAGGTGAAGGTGACGTGGGCTGGAGTGAATCATCTCAATACACTGGAGAGATCCGCTTCTAACAGCATCCTGCCAGCTAAGGTTTCTTTTTCCTCAGGAAAAGATTTGATCAGAATAAACATTCACTTCCATTTTGCTTTTCTGTAAGTCTCTGTGTTCACAGGTTGGGTTTGCTTCAGGGAATGTGGGACTGAACTGGCTGTTGATCATTGCTTTCTTCCTGCATCCTCCCCAGTCCCAAAGCTCCAGGTCTTCAATATGCCCTCGAAAACTTTTGCAACTACAAAAATAATTGTGCTGGTGTTTGGAGGTAAATAGGAATTTAGTTCCCGAGACATGAGGGTTATTGCTGCCTGAAGCTTGGAGGTTAATTCAGGGACTAGTTCAGACCTCCATCTCCTCCCGAGTTCCCAAGACCCGGTGTCCAAAGGACCAGGTTCAGCTTGTTAATAAATGGTTCTGCTAGTACATTTTTGTTAGGGAGTTCTCTCTTGTCCTGCCGATGGCAGAGATTGAAGACAGTCACAGAGATGAGATTGTACTGTGTGCTTTTCAAGCAAGGTGCAAACGATTGTGTGCCACATTTTGTGTAAGACGCTATATTCTTCTCAAAGAGGCAGGGAAGATAAACCAGAAACTAGTAGAAATGGCTGCCTGTGGGGGTAAAGAAGGATGTGTGAGGGATGAAAAGAAAGCGGGGACAGGAAGGAACCCTTTTTGAGCATCTCTTTTCACAGCTAGGGGTTTTTGAGATGGATAAATGTTTCACATATTCAGAAAAGAAAATAGAACAAGAAGCAAGGGGGAGGCAACCCTCATCTGAACACAAGTACGAACCTAAGTGGCTACCACACAGCCAGGAAACCAGCCCCTCAAATGGCAGTGGGCGTGAGCAAGCACAAAAAGAATAAAGAATTAGTAGCTGTGTGGTCAGGAGTGGAGCCTGAGGCTGTCTGTGGTGGGAACAGCGAGTGAGTAAGCATTCATGGGAGGGTGGTGGGGTGTCAGGAAGAAGCCTCCAGAGGGGTCACAATG